AATTGTGGAGATCAAATTTCAGTTTGTGAATCCACTGAGATTGTTCACGGTCTTGCAGTTAACATCCAATGGCTTACATTTACAACAACAACAAAAATCCTTCAGGTTAAATATGCTTGGCTTTCGTTTTTTTGCTGGTTCTTTAAGGAATTTCACACTTTGGTCAAGACAAAAAGAATGCGTTATTATTATGATTATCAAGGTCATTATTGTTAGGAAAAAAGTGTGTAATATAAATTGCATTATTTTGCATGCACATTCAGTTGGAAGCTCTTCCTGTCCAATCCAATGTGCCGTGTTACCTATATCGGTTGAAGACTTCCGACAAGAACTGCAAATTATGCACATCTGAGAATGGTGTCATTATACATGGGAGTATTAAGGACAGGTTTTTTTACTATTAATTTTAAATGTGTTTATTTATGTTTTAACAGACTCATGATTATTTCACTCAGTGGCTTGGTTGCGAGGGTTCCATTTCCAGTGGTGCAAACCCAGAACCGGCCGCTGTCCTCCCACCGCTCACCTTACACACAACCTGCACTCCCAACACCAAGTCAGCCCAGACCCAAAACTAGACCTGGCCCTAACCTTAAAACCAACACAAACCCTAACTTAACCCTGGCCCCAACCTTAACCCACCCATGGCTCGAGCCTTAAGCTCGTCCTGACAACAACTTTGACCTTTACACAACCAGGACTGTATCCCACTTCAGACCTTATCCAATCACAAACCCCTACACAAATGCAGTCTAACTAAAGTCTAACCATAACCTGCACACACTTTAACTGTAACCTAGCCCTTGACTGGTTCTAAGCCTATAACTGTCGAGCTATAATCCCAAACGTTTACCTAACCCTATCCTCGGTCAGTCCCCAACCTTAACGCCAACATTTTCCGAGCATTATCTCAATCCAGGTCAACGCAGAGATATACCAGCCCAAACCTCTAACTCCGACCCACGTCAGGCCTAACCCAGGCCATCCGAAGATCTCAACCATGTCCCCAACTTGTACCGACATTGTGATTTATTGGTGGTGGCTTCCAAATAGGTGTTGAAGTTAATTGCAGGTCGCTTCCTTTCGCAATTAGCTACCTTCTGAAAAGAGGGAAACATCAAGCTGTTGACGCTCCTCTGATCCTGCCCTGTCACGTGACCTCAACTCCCACCATTTTCACTATATCCAGAAACCCCCAGTTCTTAACTCTTGACCTTAATTGAGTTAACCTGAATTAAATCCAAATTCCTTAGCATAACTCCTGCATTTAAACGTCCACCATATGGAATCACTTATCTCCAAACTAAAATGTGTCATAATTCCAAACTGCATGTCTAAGCACAATCCCCGCTCTAACTTAACCCTATGCAATAAACGTAACCTCCCAACAGCTCAAGTTCATAACCCTGAAACTGAGCATAACCTTACCCTGATCCTTGCCTTGGCCAGCTGCTGTGTGAGAGGCGAGCAGTGTTGTGGAAGCGGTCTAGGGCTGTGCCACTGAGGAAACGGAGGGTCTCTGGCTCGGGGCGGCTGAGGTCATGGATGAGTTGGCTCAGCGATGACCTTTGCCCTGCCTTTGTTTGGGGCTGTACATCACACCGCCGCCTCAGCCACTCTTGCTACCATGTACACGCTCGCATGTATACTCTGTTTAAATAAACACACGCGTAAGACGAGAATTGCTTGACACGCTGCCTGGTCATGCGTATGCGTAACATGTCCCGCGTTTCAAATACTCGGACAGTGTTTGTAGAAAGGTCCTACAGTGGGATGTTTAGCCAGTTTGCCTTACTTTCTGCCCTTGGGTCAAATTTCTGGTTACAGGGCTGGTGATATCATCTTTCTATACACAGTACTGTAAAGTGTCTCGTTTTTACGTGGTGTACCGTCGTGGCATACAGACCGCCTAGTCCAAGGGTAATTGTAGCGATATTTATTGGGCAACCCCTAAATATGTCTCATCTAAATATGTGCACCAACATCAGATGGTGCAGAAGAGGATATTAAAGAATTATATGGAACGCTGGAAACAACGTTAAAGGAACTGCCTACAAAAGCTGTTCAGCTGTTTGTTGGAGATTGGAATGCGAACATTGGGAAGGGTTACGTCAGATGGGGACGCATCCTGCAAAGGTGTGGATATGGAGAAAGAAATGAAAGAGGTGAAAAACTGCTGTAATTCACTTCAAAACATGTAATACTAAGTTCAAACTAAAATAATGCAGAAAATGGAAATGGAGGGTTACCGGATGGTAAGACATGAATGAGAGGTCTGGTAATGATCTCTCACGCTGGAGAACAGTTTGACTATTCAGAACATTCCAAGGAGCCGATGTATCATCGGACCACGCTTGGTATTATGCAGCCTTTGACTAAAACTGAATATCGAAACGCAATATGAGAAACAGGTCCCTGCGGGGTGGGCTGGTCGGAACGAACAAATACGATACGAACGGAGAGTTTGAGGCCTAGTTCTAGGCTTTAGGCCTAGCTGTAGGCTTTAGGCCGCTGTGAGATATTTTTTTATTTAAATGTTTTAATTAAAAACTATCTCAGGGAATAAGTTAATTTTTAATTTAAATGTTTAATTAAAAACTATCTCAGGGAATTATAAGGGAATGTTACACTTGTTTAGCCAGGAAAGCCTCAAAGAGTCTAAAGGTTTTTGTAGGGTCCTGCCAAGTGTTTGCAGTAGGGGGCGATGTTGCTACACCTAATCGGACATCGGACGGACGGACGATATAATCTATTGTAGGCTGGTTCACTTCGTTCCTACTAGTATAAGAGGAACATAGAGGCACTCGTGAACGAGGAGACGGGGAGGAAATGTGAAGAGGAAATATCCAGCAGAATCTGGGGGGGGGAGGGGGGGAGCACAAAAAGAACACCTTGGCCTAGACAGAAAAGCATTAGCACTAAAGAAGACTTTTTTTATAAATGTTTTCTCCTACAACATCAAAGTGCAGCGGCACATTAAATACGCGCTACAATGACAATAGTTTAAAGCGATTTGAAGCATGTTTTATTTTTTGGGGGGGGGGGGGCAGAGCTTTGTGACTGGGGGAGTGGGGGTCAAAAATCGTCAAATCGCGTGGCGTCATTTATGGACGGCCCCAAAGTCACGTAGATCGAAAATAAAATTTAAAAAATCACGATGTTTCGATCGCAACACAAGCAATCGTCTTCAGGTACAAAACTACAGCAGGCGAACTGCTGAGGCAGGAGGTTATATCGCTAAAATTAAAACATTAAAAACAATCTTAGCAGGTAAAGCCCACTGAGATATTAGCTTATTTTGTCAGAAGCGACCTGGCTACAATGATTAGGGGTTGGGGGGAGGGTAGTGGGGGGAGGTGAGGCCAAGGGGCCGTTCATAAATGACGTCACGCACCTAGGGGGGGGGGGGTCAGACATTCGTGACGATGTGTGACGAGGGGGGTTGAAAAAATGTGACGTCACATCAAAATGCGCAACTTTAAATAAATGTAGAATTGTTATAACAACACTAATTGTTATAACAACACTCCTACAACATCCGAATGCAGCGCCACATTAAATACGCACTACAATGACAATAATTTAAAGCCATTTGAAGCATGTTTTATTTTAAAAATGGAAATATGGTTTTGGGGGGGGGGGGGGCAGAGCTTTGTGACGTCATTTGAGGGGGGGTCTGACTTTTTGTAACGCCGTGTGACGAGAGGGGGGGGGTTAAAAATCGTCCAAAATCGCGTGACGTCATTTATGGACGGCCCCAAGGTAAGAGTGCCCGTGGTGGGGGGGAGGGGGGTGGACTGTAGGGGCAAGTGCTGTTAGCGAGTGGCACCTATGAAGGCCAGAACGGTGCACGAATGGGGTGGGTGGCCAGCAACACAGCACCACGCCCGACCGCCTTTGTCTCCCCAGTGGCAATGTTTACACACCGCCCCAGGTACTTACTTGAGGCCGAGTCGACCTCGGGGAGGCACAGGATCGATTCAGACAAGGTCCGCGGCCCACTGACGGCCCCTAGCGACCTTTATTGCGGCCCCCGACAATACACAAATGTGAAAACACACACACCTACCCACCCCCATCATCATTATCATCATCGTGCTGTCAAACCGCAGTGGTTTCAAATGGTGTGGCGGCCCCCCTGACCTCCAGGTGCCCTGCCTCTAACCCCTGAAAATGTGTGAAGAACACCGCTTGCTACGTGGGACGATGACCGGTGGACGACATTAATGATAGCGGGAGTGTCGAGATGATGCAAACCACGAATTGGGAAACTATGAAATGCAAAACTGAGAGAGATGCCAAAGGTTTGTTTTTTATTTGGGGGGGGGGGGGGGGGGGGGTGCTTTCATCCAAGCAGTGATTTGATAACGGCTTCTTTTGCGATCCATAATAGAGGTTTTTGTTTGGGTTAAGGGGCCGTCCATAAATGACGTCACGTGATTTTGGACGATTTTTGACCCCCCCGCCCCCCTTCGTCACACGGCGTCACAAAAAGTCAGACCCCCCCCCTCAAATATGACGTCACAAAGCTCTGCCCCCCCCCAAAATAAAACATGCTCATGCTTCAAATCGCTTTAAACTATTGTCATTGTAGTGCGTATTTAATGTGGCGCTGCACTCTGATGTTGTAGGACAAAAAAATTATAAAAAATCATATTTAATTAAGTAGAACGTGTTGTCTATATTTATTTAAAGTTGCGCATTATGATGTGACGTCACATTTCTCACCCCCCCCCCCCTCGTCACACATTGTCACAAATGTCTGACCCCCCCCTAGATGCGTGACGTCATTTATGGACGGCCGCTAACCCAAATAAACCTCTTATGGATGATATTGGTCGCGAAAGCCTACACCCCCCCAACCCCGCCCCTCCCCCACCGCCCCGCCCCTCCCCCACTCCCCCTACCCCCCGCCCCACCCCCCGCATGTTAACTGCCGAGAGAGCCGCCGTCCAATCAGAGCTCGTCTCCAATTCGCAACCCGCCCTCCGACGTTCAGCGAATCAGATCGCTTCGTCTCGTCGCTCAGCCCGCCATTTTAAAAAAAGGCTTAAATTTTTCCTTCTTCGGTTCAACTCGCCTTATCTCGTTTCACATGTAACCGCGTTTCTTTTCTCAACGTTCGTTATTTATTCGCACGTTCATCAATCGTCGGCTCGCAGCGACCGCGTCAATGACGTCCACGTCGACAAAAGTGAGTTTGTTGCCGCTTACCAAATTCCCGCGGAGGCCTTGTTGAGGCCTACAACGCCGCGGTCTCGCCTGAGCGGCTCGCGGGGATTGAAGCCTCCCGGTTCCGCGGCGCCTCCCAACCGAGGGCTCCTGCCTCACCCGGGATCCCCGTGCCGGCGTTTGGCGGGTTATTAGAGCCGAATTTGTTTATGTGCGTCGACATATAAACAAACCCGATTGTGCAGCTTTCACCGTCGTCGTAATGTATTGTTAATTCCCCGCTGCAATGTTAAACCGATTGTCCGTTTTAGGCGGCACGTCTCGAGACGTCAATTCCGTGCGCATCTTTAGCATTGCAATTTGGAACGCTTCGTGACCCACGCACGCAGATCTCGTAGAAGTGCCTCCCTCCTCAAGAGATGCCTTCCTTGCACACAGTGACCTTTGCTGCACCCACACCAATGGGCACTGTTATATCGCTCGCACTCCGATACCGAGAGAGAGAGTCTGTGTTCGTCGCACGATAACCCGTGGCAGTTAATTGTCAAGGCTGGCATTTACCAAGATTAAATCTAAAAGATAAATGAGGATAATTTGTTTTTGTGCAGAGAGGAGGAGAGCGGTGACACGGCTGAAATCAACTCGCTGCATTTTGCAAACGCAGTGGGCTGAAATTTGATCTTGAACCCAAGGATCTCAGCGGTGCCGGGCTCGGCAGCACTCTGCTGACGTCTGCCACAATCATCAAAATGATTACAATCGCCGCAGGCCATAATCGTTATTATCATAATTAACATTGACCACAATTATTAATGTCAACACTATCATCGTAACCATCAGACTCTTCGCCAGGGTTTATAACGTGAGTGCCACAGTTGGGATTTTCTGGTGGCTGACAAAGTGAAATTTCCGCCACTGACTGACGGATCGATCGGAAGAAGAGATTAGTTCTGACTGATTACCAGTTTGAGCGGGGTAGATGTTTTGACTTGATGACTGCAGGGGTCGCGTTTAAATACCGTAATAATAATAATAACCTCGATGTTATAAAGACCCTTTAATAACGAAATCTCAAAACGCCGTACAAAAAAATACACATTTCGAAGTATGAATACATTCAAAACTATCCGAGGGCAAGTGTGACAGCAGCATTTGCCTCTTGCAAATAATATCTGGATCAAAAATACTCACATATCGCCTTGTTAACCCACTGTTGGATATAATACTCTCCACGCCGCGTCAACCACGTGGGATGGTTGACCGTGCGTCTTGGCTAAGTGGGTACCGGTTCAGATATTCAACAACCATCGATGCTATCTCGGTGTAGGGATTAGAGCTCGGGGTTTTCAGGTTCATATCGCAAGTGCGTAAGCCAAGTTGACCTGCAAGCCGGATTTGAATTCGCGTCTTTTTGATTGTGAGTCTTGTGCTCACCCAGTGGTTCTCAATCGGCGGCACGCGGACTCACTGGAGTGGGACGTGCCAATCAATGTCCCAGGGGGGTAATACATGTTGTGAAATTATATTATACGTGAGTAGGCATTGGTGGATGCTCGCGTATGAATCGGTTAATAAAAAATAACCACGATAAATTTTAATTCCATTTGGTAAAGTCACGTAGAAGGGAAATAATAAAAATAAAACAATACAAATCTCACGACGTTTCGATTGCAACACAAGCAATCGTCATCAGGTGTGAAAACCAAATTTTCTTGCTGTGGTTTTCACAGTGGCCAAAAAATGTTGAGAACCACTGCTCCAGCCACTGCGCCTCCTCGCCAGATGTAAGTGAATATGGGTAGAAATGCATTGGCAGCAGATCGCAAATACGGCTCAATCATATGTAAGGAAGGAGTGTGGAGAACAGCTTTTCCTTTGAATTGCGTGTGGTGGAGCATGCCGGTTACCCCCAGGGCTTTGGAGGCCAGGGTTGGTGAATCACGGAGGTTTGTCGAGTTCAATCCCGCGACGTGGCCAGGAGATGGCAGCAGAGCACAAATTTTCTTGAATAAATATTCTTGAATATTTGTACGATTTTAGGTCATGTTACCTTTTATGGTCTACAGACTTTGTATTAAATTAAAACTATCCTGGTTGGCCGACGTGGTAGCTGGCTCAAGGATATGAGGACTGAGCTGACACGGTTACGATCTTGGGTTCAAATCCTTTCGGACACAATTGAAAAAAAACCAGGCTCTTTAGCGTAGTAGAATTGATGGTTTAAGGATCGTCTCCAATGACTGCACAAAACCCATCATATAAAAATGTGGTGTTCTATTGTGTTTGTGTTGTGGCACGTGGTGTGTGCCTACTGAATAAACTAGCTCACTTGAAGGAACCTTAGAAGACGTTTTGTGGTGTATTGTTTCACATGTCATTATCCAACATGAGGTGATGTACTTATCTCCAATAGTTCTGTACGTATATTATGTTTTGTCTTGTGCTTGATGCAATGGCGATATTGGAATAATATTTGCTACTATTAAGAGAGCTCGATTTCCATTGTTCTGAAGGTGATGGCCATGCTCTCATGGCCACTTTGAAGCAAGCTGGCGCTGCATATTCGCCGGGCTGACCCAATTCAGGCCCCCTGCACTCAAGCTGTCCTAAACAAATGTCCTGATTTCATGGAGTCAAGATGGGATACTACAGAATAATAAATGTTAGCTTGGGATAGCATAATTTACCCCAAGCATATCTTAAACCTTTTTTGTAGAAATAAAAAATGCTTTCATCATGAAGCGTTAGTACAAGAAACATGCCGGGCCAGTTCAGGAACATCCCGGTACAGCTTTTCTTATATATGATGATGACTTAAATGTTCCATGATTGATTCCAAACAAACCCTGTCACCACCGGCTTCCTCCCACTTGTTCCCCTGTCATCCTCTGCCCTGCGTGTGCCGTATCCCACCCGCCCACGGCAGGTCGGTGAGATATTCTCAGCGGCAGGAGCGGCGTTCTCCAAGTTGGGCGAACTCACCATGCAGCTGCACCCCGTGGCAGACACATCGCCTTCTGGGTAAGGAGACCCACTCGCCTTGATTTTTCATGGTCATCGTCAGTCATTCCGTGGCCATCATGATTCATCATTGTTATTTTAGTATTATAAACATCAAAAATCATCATCATCAACTTCACCATCCATTAGTCATCATCTTGTCACCTCCAATGTGGGGTCTAAATTCTTGTACCTTCAGATTTTCGTGTCTCTTGTAACATGTAATTGGGCTCTTCTTGTGCACCAAACTGCCTCATTGTGTTATCTAGATATTTAATTCTTTGTCTCCCTTTTAGTCTTGCCCAAAATCCTACGCGCAATGCACAGATTCACCACAATATAATAATTAGCCTTAATGAAAAAAATATTATTCATTGTATCCTGAACAAAGTAGTGTTTTGTAAAAGATTTCTGGATAAATTGATAGCACGGTGTTTTTTTGACGAGTTATTACTAGAGAGTTATGATCCTTAGAAAGTTTCATTTATGAGGTATAACCCTGTGAGCCATGCGACTCTTGACTCGGGTGCAACCGCAACGAAACAAAAACATGAACAAGAAACATCTTAAAGTGACTACACGCAACAGAAAAATACTGGAAAAAACAGCAGTCTTCCAGAAAAAAACACCGCATTTCAATGCTATGTGCAAAAATCCCAGTGGGATGCAAGTCAAACAATAACAACCATAAGACAATGTAGATTAAAGTTATCAGGCTAACTCTGTACTACAACAAACAAACATGGCCAGACTAAACCGTCCTCAAAATCACCAAAATAAAGCCACAAAAACAATGGAACAGTGATCATAGGAACTGTGATTCAAATCCAACAACAAACGATATACATAACATGTACGACCAAACCCCGCAGCCATAGCTGGCTGCATGAGTCACTCCATAACAGCAGGAGTATCAGTAGCAGAATCAAAATTTCTCAATACACCTTTAAAGATCAGCACACCACAATGAAAACTCAAGATCATACTTTTCAGCGGTCATCCGGAATGATACATTTGATTTCAGGCCATTCTGAATAGCAGTGGCAGCTAGGTGTGTACAATTCCTCTAGAGCAGTTTTTAGTGAAGATCTCATAGGTAGTGATCCAACTTGCAGTTTATTGGCGATAGCATTCCAGACCCCCTGGGGGCATCGATAGAAAAGGCCCCTCCTCCAGTATTTGTACGGCACTAAGGAATGTGAAGCTGGTAAATGAGCGAAGACCTTAGGTCACATTTGTTCTTCGAAACAGTGAGGAGATCCAGCAGGTAGTCTGCTGATTTTTTTGTAAGTACATCGTGAATAAATAAGATCTGATGCACAAGCCATCGATCATTAAGAGAAGACTTGTGGCAAAATCTATTTTGCGTTAACTGCCTTCTAATTACTTTGAAGAAATATCTATTTTTAGTGGAAGAGCACCAAGTAACAACACAATCATGATAAAAATGTGAATTACAATGACAAAGTAAAGGAAATCTGATATCGTTGTATCATGAAATGTAAAATCATTTTGTGAAAAAAAGATACTGCTCAAATCATAGTTCTTAGGCTCACGTTTCGCCGCCATTGTCGTGTTGGTGAAGATTTCTGCCGTTTGGACATCTACACATTCTCAGACGACACACTTGGAATTGATTTAGCGTCTTAAAAACGAGTGGTAAATCATTTGAAGGGAACAATGAGAAGTCTTTGAGAAAGAAGTGCAGGCATTAAATTTTGGGTATGTCTCATAGTTTAAGTCGGAATCCAACACTATGAATACAAAGACTGGAGCAGTGGTAAAGTGCACTTAGTGCTTACTGAGCCACGAAACCGATGACGTTTGATGCTTGGTCATGGACAATGTCTGTGGGGAGTGATATGTGAACCAGTCCCGAGTCTTCCCCTTCAGCCTGCTTTGACCAGCATTGTGAAGTACGTCACGCAACCTCACATGCCCGAGGAGGTGTGCGGAAGGTGTTTATCCAGCAGTGAATTGACAAAGGAACTGCAAATGTAAATCTTAATCCATATGCCAAATTACGTGGTGTTTGAATGCCACTGTAAGACTCATAATGCCTAGACTCTCATTATAAATCCATGCCGTTCCTTTCCCAAGGCCATGTTGACAAACGCGTGTGTATAATTTGACTGGAAACCACGCAGTTATTGTAGCCCCACTTAATTTGCCACAATTGAGCCTCCCCCAACACCTACCCCTGACTCCCCCCCCCACCCCAATAGAAGCCTGCCCTGGTCACATCGCCCCCATGAGTTCAATCCCATGTACACGTTGTTACATGTATCAGCCCCTTGTCTATGCACTGCTCGTTGAGAGGGCCTCCACAAGTCCTGTGGATTATTTGGTCAGTGCGGGTTGGTGGAGGTGCGGGAAGCAAAGATGCTGGACCATTATAGTATGGTCCAACAATAGACTTTCTTCACTGCATCTCCGACCATGAACACATTTCCAGTGAACTCAAACACGTACGCCAAGCTCTTAAGGCAAATGGTTACTCCGACTATACAATCCGCAAAGCCATCACTCCAACCATCAAGAAGGATCCTGTTGAGGAGCCTTTCAAGACCATCACCTTACCCTACATTGCTGGGGTCACAAAAAAGATCTCCAAAATCCTGATTAAACACAAGATCCAGGTCCGATTCAACACAGTACATAAAATCCGTGATCTGGTACCGTCTGTAAAAGATGTGGTTCCAGACATACAGTACCCTGGCGTCTACAAACTAAGTTGCCTCTGTGGTAGCAGTTACATTGGGGAAACCAAACGACATGTCTCGGACCGCATCCGTGAACATAAAGCTGACCTGAAACACGGTAGGACTAACACCTCAGCCGTGGCAGATCACTGTTACAACTCAGTGGGCTCACATGATATTGACTTCTCCAAGACAGAGGTTCTCTGCAAGCCATCTGGCTATCATGAGAGATTCGTTCATGAGGCGATCCACATATACAAACACAGAGACAACTTTAACCGAGAAGATGGATTCTGGCTCAGCAATCATTGGAAGGACGTAATAAACCATTTCGATACACATTAGGGTGTGTAGAATAATACATAGTGTGATATTAAATGTATAAGATATAGGTTGGTTTACAGCAATACAGTATATAATTTAATGTTGGGTTTATCTATGGCAGTATATAGTACGGTATATGCTCGTGTGATGTAAGAGAATAAGGTTTAGATGGAAGCATATTATAGAATTTTTACGAGGTAAAATTGTAATGTATTACTTGCTGTTAGTAACTCAGCTTATTATAGAGTATAGTAAGTATACTGATGGTGCGATGCAGTTTATACTTTAGTTTTTTATGTAGTTTATACTTTAGTTTTCTACGTGTTGTTGAGTAACTGCAGCTACATATCATTAACATTCCTTTCCTTTGTTACTGCTAATCCCTGCACCCCCCTTGGTTGCTGCTGATCCTGCATAATGCATGGGCATAATATGACTTTGACACCCCCCCGCCCAACGCCTACGCATTTTCCATGAATATGCTAAATCCCTCTTCACATGCACATTCTTTTTGTTAAGGCGCTCTTCAACCCCCAATGCAGCTTATATATAAGCTCCTAGTTTGGTAGTGTCTCATTCTTCACCTGAAGACGGCTGCTTGCGTTGTAGCCGAAACGTCGTGAGAATTGTTTTATTATGTTTTATTTTTATTATTTTATTACTTCCCTTCTACGTGACTTTACCGAAAGAAACAAGAAGATTTCTTCACTGCCTTCTATTGCCCACCCACAGCACGGCCACGCAGCTGCTTACAACAACCTGTTTTGTACAAGGAGGTCGCCCATAAAAACACGTAAGCAGGCCCAAACCCACTTAGCATTTGAGTGTCTTGACTAGATCGGGCGCATTCCGAGTTATTAAATCAGAGGTGGTCCTGCCATAGTAACGTGACATTTCCACCAATGGCTCAGGGCAGTATGCAAGGAAGAGCAATGCACCACACCTGCCTGCTCGGTGTGACACACTTTGATTCCACATACAGCGCAGACAGATCAACGCACCATCGATTCTGACGCACGCGTGTAGGTCGATGCGTGTATCGCTAGCGCAAAGAGTAATTTTTTGATGGCTCGATAAAGCGACGTCTCTTATGTTTGTGGCAATTGTCGTGGAGATATTTATGTGTATTGTTAACCCCACGACGCCCAGGGCTGTGGTCGCAGAGTGACGCGGCCTCACAGGTGGCGGTCGTTGAGCCGGCGCCACTGTAAACATGTTGACAGCCGCGCCACGCGCCCTGCCAGGGCATTGCACCGAGCGCTACTACTCGCGCAGGTGGCTTGCGCTGCACTGCCTGCGGAACAGAACAACAGATGCTCACGTGCGCGGCTGTGACATTGTCGCACGGGATGTGCCACTGCGTCGCATTGTGTAGATTCTCTTTGTGTTTGTGTCTGTGGCGGTGGTCCCACCGCCTGCTCGTCCATGGTGCCGGCCGTCATAGGCGCTTGATCCCAGCACTTGCACCCAACCGTCCTGTGTGGTTATACGGGAGGTCTTTATCTTTGTGTCTGTCTTTGAGAGTGGTGGCGCAATTAGCTCACTGTGCTATGGAACCAATTGACCAGATCAGTGGAACAGCTGCTCACGAGTATACGGCCGTGACTTTATTGCACTGATATACCGCTGCATGTCGCATTGTCGTCTTCTCTTTGTGTGCTGTATGTGTCATTGGGTGTGAGTTCGATTCGCAGCCAGTAAACGTCAGCAGCAAAGGTGGTGAGCGATATCAAAGCCAGTGCTAGGCCTCACCTAGGTCGACTCGGCCATAAATTAGTACCTGTGTGGTATATAAAACATCAAGGACAACTGGGTATGTGTGATCACATCACCTCCTCATATGCCATTCTGGCACTTTCACCAACAGTCCGTAAAGCGATATGGGGGATTGTCTGAGTTTGATTCCTGGTCATGGTAAACATTTGTGGTGCGTGATACATAAATTGGGCCTGGGCCTACCCTCATTCCCTAATGAATACCTGGTGTCACGTGTAA